CCGGACAAGATCGCGTGACCCCTCCCTCTAATATGTGTTGTTTAGCGGTCGTTTGGTTGACAGATTCCTCTTTCTGAAAATTGTATCATTGCATGTTTCATAAAAGAGATTACCAATGAAAAAAAAATGAGAGAAAATGGGTTTTATGTCAACTCACATTGAATTGTGTGAACCACAGGTGAATGCTACCATTTCCTTTTGTAATAGTCCACATGCATCCATCTCCCTCCGTGTAACTGGATTGCAGACTTGGAAATAGGATTTCTTGTTCCTCCTCGGTCGCAATTAGCGATTTTTCTCCGCACGACTGAGCCGCAACTGAAAACCAAAATAGGCAATCAAGAAAAAATAAAGACAGCATAACTGTCTGGATTTGCTGGAACTAACTAACACTAGTCTTACACAATCCATCATGTAGTTGACACACAAAGGGAGACCACTACCGAAGATCCAGTGACATCAGGCATGAATGCACGCAAACACTCATTCTCTTTAGACTAAGAAGCTTAGATTAGTCCATTCGCTTATTCAGAGGCACCAAGCACTCTTGATGGTCTCATTCTCTCTCACTGTTTGCTGATATACTCTCGAAAAGTGCGATGGATCCATGGATATGAACCACTGATCAACTGGTGTCTCAAGAATACTCCTCGGATTAGTCATATACAAGGAAATATACGCAACAACAAAAATCTGTAGCTATTCAATCTGTTCAACAACTCACCTATCTGAAGAGAAAAGCTGTGATTGTTGACCAATGTTCCATTGTCAAGCCATGGATTCCTGAGCACTCGGATGTCATTCGAGTCGGAGGTGTAAACCCGGTTGGTATCACAATTCAGATCGGTTCCATCCGGCATCACTAAGGAGCACACGAGTGATGCATTCTACCAAAAAATAAAGAAGACAAAACCAGACTATGATCATCTCAGCGAAGTTCTTTGCTGCCTTTGTACCGGTAAATCATTGATCGATCAATCAGTTGTAAACTCACATTTTCCATTTCAATATGGATACGATACTGATCCATTGTGATGATTTGCAGAATACAGGTGTACGGATACGGTGCAATTGCCAAATATTCGGTTTTCTCATCATTCATCACCAATATTGAGCCATTGCATGTGGGAGCCAAAATGGGTGTGCCTTTAAAACAAACAAACAAAAAATCAAAAGCATCATAATACAGATCACTCCGATAATGATTGAATCTGAATTTTTTTTTAAGTAGACAAATGTATCAAGTCAAATCGAATGAAATCAAGGAAAACGTTTTGTTCAGGTAAAAAATGAAATTTTAGCAATGTGCCTAAATTTTTGCAGTGTATATGTGATGATCATAAGTGTACGAGATAACACTAGTCATGGGGCGACGCGTAACGCAGTTTCCGGACAACTGTGATTGGTGAAGTTTCCCAGTTGACTGTAGCCAAGCGCCTACGTGTTACAGTCTATGGACAACGAACCACAGGCGAATCGTGCCGACCGGTTAGAAGTCGTGCGGTCCAGACAGAAGCTGTATGATGTCGAGAATACAACCAAACGATTAGTGGATACCTGGATAACCAATAAACTTCCTTTGTTCATTATATTTAATTCCAATGATTTCTTTCAATAAAAGAACTGCTACTTCTGTGACTTTTTTCTTCTATCTCGGTGACAGGAGTTAACAACCTGTAAGCACTAGTGCGATTCAGCGTTTCAGTTGCGTCCGTACTTCGGGATTCACGATTTGCGATTCGTGGTCTGTCTACTTCGGCTACTACAAACAGCATAAATAAACTCAGCATTATAGTAAAGAGAAAATGAAAGTGCCAGAGTTTTCATTTAAACTATGTGATAATTGAGATACGATTCACTCAAAATGGTTTTGTTTGTTTTCGCAGGGACCGAATGAAATTTGAAACTTGTTCGGAGATTCAACACTCCGCTTGCATGAATTTACGATGCAGATAGGGATCCTCTCCAGACGTTATCCTGTCAGTGAGCGTATCACATACGTCGAAACAAAATCTCTAACGAAACAGTCCTCACTTAATCGGGGTAACGACTTGAGAGACCTGAACGACAAGATTAAAAATTACTGTCCCGGCATGCGGGAAGAAAGACAGAAGATCATTCCGGTCAGTATGGGAAATTCAAAAAAATTAAACGCTTGTTTTTATGACAATATTAATATGGACGAAACATATAATATTTATCATAAAATAGTAGAAAATACATAGCCGACAGGAATACAACCCAGTCTGAATATTGTCGATTTGAATTGTTCATACTACCTTATCTTTCTCAAGTGGTTGTACACCCACTCACCCATCCACCCACCCTCTTTTGCTGTTTCTCCGTGTATTTCAAACAACGAAGTTAATTATTATTATGATTGTACATTCTCTTGTGAAATGTCACAACGTTTTGTTCGGAGTTTTACGCATTCTGAAAGGAAAGATTTCTCCTTGTATGAGGAGGCCAGGTCATCTTGGTTTCTTATAGTCTCACAAGCATGATCACTAGACCCCCTCACCATCACCACCACCACCACCACCGCCAGGCTTCCTCATTTCCCAATATCTCATGGCGTTTTCTATTTTGCTTTGCTTAAAAGCTGACCCTGCGCTGGCCCATATCAGCAAAATCAATGGAAGAGTATCACCAGTACTGAGTATGCCATCTAAACATGGAAGCCATGGTTACAACGTTATCATAAGATTCTGAAGCGTCCACAAAGGCTCGCCATGAAGATGGTCAAAGGACTCTATCATGATTCATGCATGGGGAGACTGCAGTCGTTGGGTCCATACTCTGTTCAGCATCGTCAGATTAGAGGAGACTTGAATTTAGTGTATCGAATATTACATAACCCAAATCGCCCTTGTCGCCGACTTTTGACGTTATCATCAAACGTCCATCTACGGGGGCATCCATTCAAATTAGTACTCCGAAAATCTCGACTGGACTGCCGACGTCATGCGTTCGCCGTCAGAGTGTGCACTTCCTGGAATTCCCTACCATCTCATATTGTATGTGCCGAGACGAATGATTCTTTCAAGGTAAAACTTGACGAATCATGAACACACATGACATTCCAACATCCATGAGAACACAAAACATAACCAAATGCAGCACATAGAATTTTGTTCACCACTGTTACAGTTCAATTCTTGTTAATACCCTATGGGACAAGAAAAGCATCTGCTTGTAAGTAATGCCCATAATAAAACTTTGACTTTGACAATATAATTGTGCTTCTGTTGACAAGCAAACCGCACGCAACTCGGTGCGGTGTACTAATAAATGAGGCGGTGTTCATTACAAAAAATCAGACAACTGATCCTGATTTTATCAAAACTCCCTTTTTCACGATAAATTAGTAAAAACTCACTTTCAGATGTACAACGTCCAACATAGGTTACCAATAAAAGTAGTATCGCGAATAATTCTCGGATCATATTATTCCAATCACCACGATAGTGATTTCGAGTAAAAATTATAAACGAATGGGAATATATTTGGATGAATAACCAATAGTCAAACAGTTCTTTTTTGGGACAAATCATTGGCTCATGGACCATTCTAGTGAATAATTCTAGACACAATCGTCCTCGGCTATAGCAACCGATTTTTTCTTTCTTTACAATACAGCCCTCGATAACGTTACCACTAGTAACTACTGAAAGCATTGGGTGTTTTTCTTTTTCCGGGAAAAGTAAAATGGTGGATCGGAAATCAGTGGATATTTGTTCGCCTAAACTGTAACCTGTATATGTGATAAATAATATACCTACGTTTATTGCCTGTGTTTAATTGTGTTCTCTGAAGTTTACAGCACTACAAACATGGGTGCATTCGTCTGTTAGATTTGTGCCGCGCAGCACGAATAAAAAACGATCGATAGTGCCGGCTTACAAGCATCAGCATTAACGGTAGATAATTGCACTCGTATTCGATGTAATTGTCTGTGTCCTGTGTAATATTTTCATTTTATTTACTCGATAACAATAACTGCTTTCTGTCACATTACAATGCCGCATTGAAGATAGACCTTTTACAATGTCACATCAATTTGCCGAGAATTATAACATTTCAAAGGTGGAATTCATCGTGAATTGAGACAATTGAAGCGTAAACTGAAAAGTTAGGAAGCACATCTGGACAGCTGTTTTGACTTGTTCAATGTTCAATGTTCAATGTTCTTCAATTAGAGGCAGAGGGTAATTTCCCGTATGAGCCTCATCACCACAGACTCGAAGATCTCATTCATGATAGATCTGCATACCACATTGTTCGCAGGACGCTGTCGAGCTTCCTCTTGAACATCTTATCATTGACCTCTTCCACCACGTCAGCTGGAAGGGAGTTCCAAAGGTTGGTTACCCTTCGCGATAGCCGGAACCGAAGAGGTAATCCTACGGACGAAAGCTTCAACAGCGTAAGTCCATGTCCACGAGTCCTGGTCTGCTCGCGCAGAGGGAAATACTCCATCAACTCTGGACCCATGTCACCGCGAAGAATACGTCGCACACAGATGATATCACCCCGTACTCGACGATAGGACTCCGGAAACAATCCAGTCGCATGCAATCGTTCGGTGTAGCAACACCCGCGTAACCCGGCAATCATACGGGTGGTGGCTCTTTGGACTCTCGCCAGCTTCACCATTTCAGCAGTTGTATAGGGATATGCCGCGGCGCTCGCGAACTCCAAGCGAGGTCTGACGTGGGAGGTGTACAATGCCTTGGTTGGGTCTCATCCGTGCAGTGCGAATCCCTGTCGACCCGAAGTAGGGGATCGCGAATCCGGCACCTCACAGGAAGAACGCAAGCATTCTACCCATTCGGGAACCGAGCAGCTGATCAGGTCGTTTCTCATTTTCTGTTACCACGATTTAGCTTGTACAGTGATTCCCAGTATTTCAGTTCACGCTTCATCCTCTTTATACACGACGAATTCTCCCTTTGAAGTTGAATCAAATTCTCCATTATTCTAACGCAAATTCATCAGTTATTCGAATGGGAATAGTGGATGATTTAATATTGAAATTGTTGAAGCGATCAGTTCTGAATCGCCTTCATTTATCCCTTACCACCCCCGATGATACTTATCAGCTTGCATGCAAACATAAACACTCTACATTAGATGCCGTTTGTTCTCTAGTTCATTTCATCTGTAAGTCCCTTAACGAGAAAGCCAAGTATGTGCATTGTGCATTATTTCTCGGTGCCTCATTCTGTTTAACTTAACAAGCTCCAATCTTTTGGCTGTCCCGCTTCTCTTTTTGAATGGCTTGTCAATTACTCTTCGCAAAGATACCAGCATGTTAAATTGGGAAGAAGACAATCAACCGCATCACTCAATAGCTCGGGTGTACTTCAAGATGCTGTCCTATCACCCTATCCTTTGGCGACTTATACCTATTACTCTCTCCGCATAAAATTGCAAGTATGCTGAGGATATCACCATTTCTGTTTCCGTATCTAACCAATCAGAACTGATTGAATATAACACAAACCTATGTCACCTCGTTTCATATTCCACTTAATCCGGTCTTAATCTTAATCGTGAAAAAGTGCCTTGAATGTAATTTTGCTCTAAACCGTTCGTCATCTCCCTTCAAAAATGTACGGATTCATGGAAAACCAATGAGTAGGGTCATCCATGTGAAGTACTAAGGTTTCACATTTGAAAGTAAACTCCGCTGGTCATCAGATACCCAAATTGTTGCTCGCATTTTGAAAGTTCTCTCTTTTCAGATAAGAGGATTGTGCCACTTCTGTTCTGACTTCTCGGTGATAGACGCTTTTGTTCAACAATATTTCCTCCCCATACCCCTATACTGCTCCCCTGTAATTTTCCCTGGTTTACTGAAGGCTGATTTTAAGTTGCTGACGCGTGGCCTCTCAATGATCAGCTGTGTCTCCCAAGTTCCGTTATCTGTTCCGATTGGCAATATGTATAATGCCCATATTGATGCGTGCTTAAAGTTTGTTGGCAATATCCTATCTGATTGCACCCATCCTCTACACATTGACTTGTGTGCATGCAAATCCAATCCCTGCACCCGTTCCAAGTACAAACTTGACCCGTCTCGCTTATCTGCGTACAGAAACTCTTTGGTGCCCTATATTTCCCGGATATGGTCCGACAAGGAAAGTGTCCGTTTTGAGCTCTCTAATGCATTTGGGAATTAACTCATATTTTGATACGTTTCACGTCCCACATTTCCATCTCTTTTTACCAGAATTCCAAAGGTGTTCTGTTTTTGGCTGAAAGCTTGTATATAACTGTCTAAAGCTTCAATACAATACAATACAATACAATACAATGAATTAGGAATGTTATAGTGTTAATAACACAGCGATTTCGGTAGAGAATTCTCTACCGACATTCACAATAAAATAACACATGACGCATCGATTTTTCGATACATTCCTAACATTATTTGGTCCCGATGTGTTTACAATACAATGAACTCTATCTCATGTAACGAACAATCACTCGAGTTATGCCAGGTCGAAGCACACTTACCGCGCTTCCTATCCTCCCAGTTCATACGATGAACTTTCTGCAAATCCGGATCATAGCGGCAAGTACGACTGAGAAAGCGTTATCTAGCTCCCGCAATACGTTGCGCATAGGCTACATCATCAGTATTGTGTGATTCGCAGATACACAGAAGAAGCCTTCAAACCGTAACTGTGAGATAGATGACTCAGATAGGAAAATTGCCTCCGAAGGTCTGTTTCCTAAACAAACAAGTAGCGCGCAAGTTTACACGGTTCATGTGGTGAACACTAGAGAGAAATAAAGCCGGTCCGCGAAAGCAATCCATGTCGCGTTTGGTGAATTCAACAAAGTATGAACAATCCCTCTCTCATCCTGAAATGGCGAAGCAAGTTCACAGTATGCAAGGCATCAGTCGATACCTATTGGTATGACACGCAGGGTCGCTAAACCTCAGTAAGAAGTGCGCGTTATACTATCACAATCTATACGTAAAAGATTATTCTTCTCGTATGCTAAAATGTAGTAATCTACTGGCGGAAGCGATCTCATTTTTTTCGCTTACCAATCCATATCCTCTTGGAAAACAACCCTTATCAATCTTACTATTCGACGCTGGGTCAAATACATCGGACAGATACATCTAGACAAATGACTAGTGGAGAGGGAGGGAGTCAGTAGTGCTCGAGACGAAGCACCGTGCCAGCGTGAGTGAAAGGTTCACATCCACCTGCGAGATCGTCGAAGTTCAGTCGAAGCAAGTCAGGAATTACTGACTGTTAGTCCCCGAAACAATCTGAATTCAACTGAAAAAATCTACTGCTGTGCGTGCAAAACAAATCAGTCATTCAGACAGTCTGAGCTGTGAATTTACAGCTGACGCAAGCTTTGTTTAGAAGGATTTCCAACTTGTTTGATGGGTAAACCAGATGTCTTTTACCGAAAATTTTGCACACATTGGCATTCCTTCCAGTATGAGACACATGTAAAATAGGTTTTCCGACTGTTCTCTCAGTTGCACCTGTATAGAATATTATCCGGTCTATAGAAGAAAGCTGCATTCCGTCAATATATAAACATGGTGACCGAACTTATTTTTCATACCTGGACTTCTTGATATATTTCTGTTTACTGTTTACCAACATACCAAAACAAATGGCCATCGAAAGTATTCGACGCTAGTTGAGAAACGATCGAAATTTGCAAACCACGATCGAATCTATCCGTGCACGAACTGATGAAACTCTTAGAACTTTGTCTGGAAACCCACTTCCAATTCGACATGAAGGTGTACCAGCAGATACGAGGAATTCCTGTGTTCGACACTTTCCTACCTACCTACTTACTCACGATGAATCTTGTCGATCGAGTGAGTCAGTCAGCAGTTATGGGATCAGTGTGAAATAATTTCCCGTTTATAGCTGATGTCACCCAAGTCAAGTCGATAAATCGCTTTATACACATCCAACGGTGGATATTCAGCAACCACAGGGAACCGTGGACGAATGGAAGAAGAGAAACTTGCAGAAGTCGACTTCTATAAAGCATTTTCCTCTGTCATCCATCAATTGTTGGACTTCAAAGTTCGGAACCTAGGCATAATAGATAGGTAGATCAAGTGATTGGACAGTAGCCTTTCTGAACAATCGTACCTTTGGGGTCAAGGTGGGTGACTACATTTCTAACCATGAGATGGTTTCAAGTGGGGTTCCCAAGGCACAGTGTTAAACCTATTGCACAAGGTCTCCGAAATCCGTGTTTCATGTTTGCTGATGATGTCAAAATGACAGGGTTGAACCTGTGAAGCGATTTAGAGCTGGTTCATCGATGGTCGGTCCACTAGGACCCACCCTTGAATCAAAGCAAGTACCGGTCCTTCACAGCGAGAGCTGGTGCATACTTGCTAAATGGAATACCAATGAAACAAGTCTCGCAGATGAAAGAGCTAGGGGTTCTTATAACCCAAGACCTCAAATCCACAACTCGGTGCTCAAAGGCTGCCAATCAGGCTAGGGGACAGCTGTTCACGTTGTGCTCTACAGTCACATGGAGACAAATGGGCTGAGTTTTTTATCCCACTATGAAAAGCGATTGTTCGCCCACACATCAACTACTGTAAGCAGGCATGGGTACCGTATTACAGGAGGGGTGTATGATGTTTAGAAAGAGTGCAACGCCTAGCTACTCAAATGGTGACTATGCAAAAAGGGAAAAAGCTATGAGTAGCGGTTAAGAGATCTTAGACTCTTCTCGCTGGAGCAAGGAGGAGTGAGGGGAGATCTGATGGAGACTTGATTGGAAAAATTAATCACACCTGTTTTGCTCCGGTTTGGTTCGATTAACTGTGCACTTATGTGACCCATTACACAGATGACCTTTGACCATTGCCCATCATCATGCCCCGATTTGATCCGAGGACATAATTTATACTGTTGTTATTGTTCTCATACCGCTTCTAAGCGTTCCTGGTCCCTCTCATTTGTGCGTCCTCTAGCCTTACCGCCCTTGAACACTCTCTGTCCCACGCTTGCCATTCTGGGGCGTTATTACACAAGAACCACCCCGGATCCGTTCCCCCACCCATGTTTTCGTTCTAGTACCTTTTCATCCCATCCTCTTTATGTTGACCTTCATATTTGATTATTCGCTTCACTTGCTTAGCGGACGGCTTTGTTCCATAGGATCCCGTGAACCGTATGTGTCTTGCGTTGACCAATGACTGCGCCTCGTTATCGAGCACTTGCGATTGGTATTTCTATCCCTTAAATCGTCCCTTTTCTAAGCCGAGTTTGCATTCCTTTTGGTGACCGCTCCGCAGGTGCTTTGTTCTGCTCCTTGACCTGCATTGTGTTTCATTCTTGTACCGTGGAGACCGGATTGGCCCACAATTTGAGGTATGGTGTTTGGTTTTGTACATATTTGTCTGCTTACCGATTACCGACTTCTCGTTATCTGGAATCGGACTTGGGGTTCGTATCTACGAGTCACTGAACCACTGGACGACAGTCCGGTACAGAGGCTTTTAAAATTGTGGGAGGTTGTTATCCGGACTTAATCGAGATGAACTGTTTACAATTTCTTATGCTCAACACTTGAGGTCATGGGTTCGAAATTCAGCGGGTTGGAGATTGGAGATACGGGCCATCTTCTTCTCACAAAGGGTCACATTTGTGTGAAACTGGTCAATCGCAGAAGTGATCAACTGCGCCAATGTCAACGCCTTCAATATGACCCTGGACGCATGTTGGTTGGTAACGTTGCCGGAGCTTAGTATGTAGAGTAAGAACGTTGTGGTGATCCAGGCCTACACGATGGCGCCTACCCTGGAGCGGCAGGTTACAGTTTCAGGACATCGGCGATCAATCAAGTTTGAATGTTGACGTCAATAGCACTGGCATAGCTTTTGAATACACGTCATTGGCGGATGGTGCCAGCCAATCCTAGACAATGCAGACAGAAGCAAGATTATGCAAGCAGTGCTGCAATCCCATTGGTGGATGCCCAGGTAGCCCATAGTCTCCCCTTGTACATATTATTTAATCACCTTCATTTCTTCCAATAAACGAACTACTTACTGCCTGTCCTCTGGCCTTTTCCTCGTATCTCGTTCTCGTGGGACATTGCTTCGGCGATCCAGTCGTGACAGCTGATTGTCGATTCGGGTCCTATAATTCATATTGCGTGGTNCGTATTATTACCACTACTACTACTACTACAATCATTACAAACATTCAGAATGGAAGTCACCGTAATCTGAAATTTCTGAAATAGAATAAACTCGGGCTTGATTGCTGGATTTTTTCTCAGGCTGAATGTCCTGCGACATGTGCTCTGTATATAGGAACCTTGAGGTGGGGAGATGTCCTTGTTTTCTTGCTCCCTTTTAGCATACCCAACCAAGATAGCAACACCATGGAAACGGGACTGGATTGAGAGGATTACAAGTACCAAATCATCATTATGCAGTGTTGGAATTCACTCTTAACCGCCACAATCACACAATCAATTGGAAGCTCATTTGGCAAGAGCCGTACTCGTGCTGAACTGAATTGAACTGAACAGATACAGTCTACTCAATAATATGTAAAGTGACTTTTTGGACATCTCTCGTACTAGGAATATTTCAAAGTATCCAGGTCAGTAGGGCGGGGGGAGGGTCAACCGTAAATTAAGGAACATGTGAACCTAAACTACACAGCAGGTAGGGGCCATAGTCTAGACCTTGTTGGACCGTTGCCTATCAAACGATCTCTCGACTTAGTATTGATATGTTCCAATCTGGTGTAACACTAAATTTACACTTTCCAAATCACACTACTACTCCCCGAGTAGCATTCAACTTGTCAGGGTCTAGTTACACTTCTTATAAAAGTAATGCTTAGTAGAGCTGCCACACTGCACAGCTTTATCGTGAATTCGTGTGCCGATCAAATTTAGCCCCCTAAGCTATACGCAGTCGACCAGGATCAGAAAACATATCGCCCAATTGCTTCGTTTTTCGAAAATGAATATCTCTATTATCTACAAATTAACGGAATGCTACATAAGTATGATCGTTGAAGCCCCCGGAGATTCGGTCAAAATGAGCTCTGCTTGTGACAGTTGTAATGTTCACGTCTTCATTTCACCCTAGTCGGATGCATTTCCTGGTGGGATGCATCCCGTAGTTTTGAGCAATCAAACCTTATCGGAAAATTCTCAAACTGTACACCTTACATTTCAACCCTTCATCCAATTGCCATTGCGGTTCCCTGAAAACGGCTCCTTTAAATATAGAACACATGATCGATGATCGATTCAAAAGCCACGCTCGCAGGTGGACAGTAAATCCGTCACTCATGGAAATGGTGTACCATGCAATATGCACTCTGATTCACTCTGAAAACGGGTAAAGAAAGGGCTGTATATACACATCATAAACCTGATTTCACATAGACTGTCATAATTGATGCCAAATAAGTAAAAGCGGTTGGTTCACTTAAAATATCTTCTACTGTGCAATTTGAAAAAAAAACACTTTGCTTTTGATAGACTAATGAATTTACTGAGGGTGCTTCCATACACCCCAAATGAACAATCCATCCTTGATCAATCGTTACTGTCGTTATTGTGAAGTGAAATACAAAGTTTTTACTATTGGAAATATTTTCAAGCGATTGTATTGTTTTTGTCCGATAAGAATTTAGCACCAACAGGATTATAATGGGATAAGGGATGTCAGAACTGTTCATTGTTTCACGTAATTAAATGGATGTTGAAATTTAAGACATGACTATGTTTCGTACAGGTTGTGCTTGAAAGAATCAATTGGATGCGCAGAAACAAACTGTGTTGTGGTACACGATTCCCAATCCTGTACACTCTAAGGGTAAATGAATAAAGTTGGCATTCTATTCTCTACTGTCTTGGAACCTCTTATTTGAATGAGTGAACCCTGAGATGAGTGTTTGGTGACATGACGAATAGTGAACAACATGGATATTCAGAGTTCTGCATTATTTGATAAACCAAAATCAAGCCTCTCGAATTCAGTAATACTATTTGGAGTACTACTCCTATAATTCCACCCGTTTACACACAAGTCTTGGAATGCAGTCCTTTTACTATCTTGGTGACCATTCTATGTGGACGTTCCAGAATCTTAAGATCACGTTTGGTTGGCGTGCCCCATGTGGCGTCGAATATAGGCAAACGAAGGAACAGAATATTCAAGTTGTTGTTTGGCAGATTTGGAGTTTGTGTGTCGATTGCAAAGAGTTCAGTAGCCCCGGTGGGATTCGAACCCACGCATAGACGCCGCCTACGCTTTGTACGCTCACGCTCTACCAGCTGAGCTGCGAGGCCACACCCACATCACTGATTTTTTCACATTCAATGGATGGGTGAGTTAGGAACAGGAAATGTTCATATTTGCCAAAAACTAGCTTTAGCAAACCATCATGTCTTGCGGCTGTGGACAACGCCTTGGAGCAGTTTAAAGAACAACCTAGGTCGTCTTGAACGATAACACCAAGATTTATCTCAATTGAGCATACGGAAATCGTCAATATACCTGGAATTGAGGGAAACGAGTTTGTGGTGAATAGATGCGACCGTATATTTGGATGCATTCGATTTGGTGTCGTTTTTGATCCACCAATTGTTTGCCGAAGTGCCGTGAGTCCTTAGGTCCTATCATTGTCTTCCATACTTCTCATCGTCTGCAGACCGTTTGCCGTTCCAGAATGCCCGTTAGATTGTGGTATCGGTCAAGCAATCAAGTATCTGGAATTCATTTTTCTAAATAT